GGCTCTGTGGGTGTTGAATAAACACAAATGCGCCTGAGCAAACGTCTGCAATAGGGATTGTTTAGCCACCCTGGTAGATGAGTATCCTTGAATACAAGTGGTCAGCTATACATGTTTATTGGGTTTTTCTATATGCTGTGTCCCTTAAGAATATAGACAATCATGACTCAACTTTGGATCAACCCATGCTATGGTTTTCAAGCACTTCTCAACTGACCCGCCCACTGTGATCATCTCCAGGGCAATATCATCAAAAAGTAATCTTGACAAAATTACCATCGTAAGATTCTAACATTGATCTTCTCATCAGAATAAATAGATATATATCTATCTCAAATATGTGGTTCTGTTCAATTTATATTACCATGAATCATTCATACAAAAAGTAAATTAGTAAAGTTAATGATATATAAAATAGCGAAATCCTTGGCTAACTAAATTTAGCGAAGGAATTTCGCCATTTTATATCATTAACTTTACTAATTTATTTTTGTATGAATGATTCATTGTTTTATATATATATATATATATATATATATATATATATATATATATATATATATATAGAGAGAGAGAGAGACATACACTTACCACTATCTTTCTTTGTTGGTTGACTATTATGTAATCTTATGAAATACAGTGTGCACTGTAAAATGCATTATTTGATGTTATCTTGTCAGAGTTAATCTCTCTTCTATATGCTATATTGCTTCATGATATTGGATGTTCATGGCTCTCCACAACATCCTGTCCTTTGTAGCTCTCAACTTATTGAGAAAAACGTAACATTTTTGTTCTTAATTTAAAAGAAAAAAAACTTTTAAAGTTGAAGGCAAGAATTGCTGTGGACATGAGTTGTTTTTTAAGGGCACTGTGGTATTAAATATGCCATGGTCTAAAAACCTCCCCAATTGTGTCATGTATATCTTATGTTGTTAAAGTTGTGATCCCAATAATGAATGCTTGTTGAACTTTTAGTTCTCTCAGGATTACCTCACTGTAAAGTTTGAATAAATCTGAGAAGGCACATTCTTGATGTGTGTTAGTACACTAAAATGTTCTGTAAGACAATTTGTGTACTAGTTCAAGTGTGTGTGATTAGAATGCTTGCATTTTAACCATGTGACCCAAGTTTGAATCTCACCATAGTCAATTTCACAGGCTGACTTGATGTTATCAGTCTTGGCAGGCATTGACAGCATGCAGTGTCTGAAAACCATAACATGGTTTGACCCAAGACTTGTGAGTGAAATTTGGTAGGTAAAATTATTTGGAAGCCATCAATAGCTGTGGTAGCACAGTCACAAGTCATCGTAACTGAGGGTCTGAACATACTGGGCTTGTTCAAACTGCTGATCATGACAGATCACTTCTCTCTCTCTCTCTCTCTCTCTCAAACTGTAACTAAGGTCTGCTCAGCATAGTTGCAGTATAAACCACAAGCAGGGCACTGTGGGTGTTGAACAAACACTGATCAAGTTTTTGCAAGAGGAATTGGCTAGAAGCCTGCTCGGACAGGTGAGGTCAGAAAATGAGTAGCCATACCAATTGTACATAGTTTTAATTACAGTTATAGATATTTTTAATTAGTCAGAACTCTGGGGTTAGTTACAGAGAATAGTTGAACATGAATCTTCTTGTATTTTCTATGTCTTTTCATGAAGCATTATCAAAGTCTTATTTCTGTGTTGATGCAGCTGTCTCTTGAGGTACAGGCCATGTAATGGTTAGCAGTTCTGAACAAGAAATTTGAGCTAAGTTCTGATTCCATCTGAATTTATTAGATTCACTTTGGCACAAAAATTCTTTGAAAAGGTATGAATCCATCTCTTCTACCCCAATCTATGGGTTAAATATGTATGTACTATGCAGTAGTATTGACAAGATCATAGAGTTCACAATGATTCTATAATCACAATTGTGGTCAACCAGCAACTGCATCAACATAATATTTATGGTTGTCTAATATGTATGCACTGTTTGATTTAAGTGTAATATTAATGCATGTTCTGTTGGTACCAATAAGAAAAAGATAGTTTATTGAATTTTAACTATTATCCTATGATTGCCTCTTTCTTTTCTTTTTTTGTCTCTTTTCATTGCCTCTTTCTTTTCTTTTTTTTTGTTGTCTCTTTTCATTGCCTCTTTCTTTTTTTGTCTTTTTCTCTCACATTTTTTTCCTGTTCAAAATTCTTATGTGCAGAATATGGATTACTCCAAAGAACGATCCATAGAAAGTGCCTAAGAGTAGCATTTGTCTGTTTCCGATAATTATTATTATTATACATAAGCCCCACTCTGCTTTTAACGTTTACTGATGCACCACTCCCACCCAGTGCCATGTGATGCATTTGTGCATCAAATGCCACTGGGTGGGTGTGAGCATAAACAACAACCAATCTTGTGCCAGACACATATTGGCATCATTCTTTCTAGTTGAATAAATTGAATTTTATTCATCTGAATAAAGTATATATAATCTTCTATTAAAATTTATAATGGTAATTCTAACAAACTCACATATGGCATTATAAAAGCGTACAAATATCCATGAAAGCAATGAACATATTAATAAATTCAACTTCATCAAATTAAGGTATAAGTAGTCTTGTATAGCAATTTCTAGCAGTGACTCAAAGAAAACAAAAAACACAGGCATTAAAATTTAAAATATTTGAAGAAGTCAATGTTTTAACTGTGTTTGTGAGAGGTGGTGGTGAGTTTAGACATTATTAAACAAATAATGAGCTTTATGTTAATAAAGTATGCAGAGATTAAATGATTAGATATAGATATTTCTAGATTTACATATCTGTATCTTCAGATGTATCTGTTTATAATCTGTGTATACTTGATAAAGAGTAAAACACACATATATATATATATATATCAAATATATGGATATAGTTCCGACAGAATGAAGAAAAATATACGGAAAAAACAAAAAAAATCCTAATATGCAATTATGCTGTTTTAATGTCAACGTCGGACGTTTCGGTCTAATAGACCATCTTCAGGACATATTCATAAAACATAATTAACATAGACCATATTCAATTCAACATGAAAAAGACGAACATAAAAGCAAGACCAATCCAAACAGATAACTGAAATCTTTTTATTATATATCTTATATTATCTTATATATATATATATATATATATATATATATATATATTTTTTTTTTTTTTTTTTTTTTTTTTTTATGTAGCATGTTGGAACCGTATTTATAATTATATTTATTATCTCCTTTTTGTATAGAGCACTATTTTTTTAAAAATAATAACAAAATACTAAAAAAGAACTTTGGATTATTTACCTAACAGGTTCTTTCCTATTTTCTATATATTTTCACACATATATATATATATATATATATATATGTGTGTGTGTGAAAAATATATAAAAATAGGAAAAGAACTCATTAAATAAATAATCCAAAGTTCTTAGTATTTTTATTATTTTAAAAAAAAAAAATGGTGCTCTATACAAAAGTAGAGCATAAATATAATTATTTATGTAGCATGTTGGAATCATACTTTAAATAAATAATTATATATATATATATATATATATATATATACTGGATTATTTCATCGTATCTTAAAAGTACATTCTTAACCGGATGTATGATGTCAGGTCTTAATATGACAGTTCCTCAAGACATGTATCAATGCCACACGCGCGCACACACACACACACTCTTAACAGCTAACCTATATTTTTCTTTTCTGCTTTAGCTTAGACCTGTCATTTGATTGGTCAATAGTGACATACCCATAAGATTTTAAACTCTTGATCCTCCCCTCCTTATCTCTTTAATAAGCAAATGTATTGTTTTCTTTTTTCAAAGGTAAATCTTTTTCATCAAAAGTTAGCAAACACTTCCTGATGATGGGATAAGGGCCAAAACAGAAATTTGTTTTGCAATTTAAAATATTTTAAATAAAAATATTAAATCTTATACTCTACGCTGTATTGAGCACTTTCTTTTTTTAAAAGAAAAAGTAAATGCTTAAGAACACTGTTTTTGAAATCTGTTGGTTCTTTCTCTTTATTTGGAGATAAAATTTTAACATTTTACCGTATACTAATCTCATTAATAGTTTGTTTTTTTTTTTTTTTTTTTTTTTTTTTTTTTTTTTTTTATTAAAAGAAAATATATTCACTGTTAAAATTTCTAACAAAATCTTTTAAATTAACCACACTAGCAGTTCGGATTGAGTAATCAGAGAGGCAAGTTTGAACTCCAGTCAAATCCATTACATTCACTTATATGCTAATACCCTTGGGAAAGGTATGAATCTTCTCCCCCATCTATGGATAAATAGCAGGACAGACCAGGTTCTATAGGTTTCATTTTATATATATATATATATATATATATATATATATATATATTATATATATATATATATATATATATATTTATTCATTATATATATATTTTTTTCATATATATATATATATATATATTTTTCATATTATTATTATTACTACATATATAAATAAATATTTTTTTTTTTTTTTTTTTTTTTTTTTTTTAATAAAAGTTAATATGAATTTTGAACAATTTACCGATAAAACAAAACTGTTGATTTAATGTTTGTGTGCATTCCTGTATACAAAGTGATTAATATTGTTCATCTCTCTTCAAAAGTTAATTCTCTTTACTTTCTTGCCTACTCATTCATTAATTTCTGTATTTTCCATCATTGATGTAATAAATGCAACAAGATTGAAAAATAAAACAAAACCATGAAATTTTGTAAAGCATGCCCCTTTTCAGAAGGGTTCACAGACCCAAAGTCTGACCTTCACTATGAGGTTTTTTTTCTTTGTTTTCCCTTATCTCCTTAAAGTTTTTTTTTTATTTTTTATTTTTTCTTTTATACTGCAAAATAAATTAAAATTCTTTCTTTAAACCATTTTTTTCTTTTCTTCAGATTGTCTTAAAATAAAGCTTCTCATTTTTTTTATTTCTTTTCTTCCTTTTCCAGTTTGCTGCTTTGTTGTGCACAAACGGTGCCATGTGTTTGTTACTTTTACCTGTCCAGGCGCTGACCAAGAACCTGCTCGAGATGTAAGTAAAATCTTAATCACTTATTTCCCTGCTGGCTCAAGATGGGAATCATAGGTGCAAAAATAATCATTTTAGTGTAGGGGGGGGGGCTACATTTAGACTAAATACCAGAAGAGTAATATCTAAACTGCAAAGATATTATAATTGCAATTTCCACTTTTCTTTCTATATTATCTTTTCTGGGTGTTGCAGCAAACATGAAAACACTCGATTTAAAATTATTGCAATATTTATATCTGTAAGATTTTCTTTTTTTTTTTTTTTTTTTTTTTTTTTTTTTTTCCATCAACTTCAATTTTTGAAATACCATCGGTGTTTCACCATTTTAAAAATATTTTGCTTTCCTCTTTAAAAAATTTACACTTTAAGGTATTCTAATTCCATTACCCAAGGTTGGAACTAATTTCTCCTTTCTTCCCAACAAAGGATTTGCCACTCTAATATTGTCGAACTATAGATTAGAACCTTTTATTTGAATTTTCTTCTTACATAAAGAAACTTGCAGAAAGCATAATGAGTCTTAAAATTATCTGTAGGTTAAGGAACAGATAATGACATTCGTCCGTGTCATGATCTACTCTTTTTCTATGTCTTTTTACGTTAGGATGAACTACACAGGAACGGATCAACAAGTCTGTATTGATTTAGAATTTTCAGTTTTTTCATGTGTGATTCTAATATTGACCACTGAATTAAATGCATTGACACAGAAGAAAATTAGGAAATTTTTTTTTGCATCAATTTTCTTTTTCAATCTCTAATTAAATGAACCTCATATGGACAGAAAAGGAAGTTGTTGTAATAGAAGCCCTGTCTAAAAGATTTTTTAAAAACAAGACCTTTATTTAATAAAAGTCATTATGCCAAGTCCATTGAATTCCTACTCTGGATTTACCTACATCATGCTTGAATCATATAAGTAATATTGCCTAATTTTTTTTTATGCAACACACCATATATTTATTTATTTATTTTTTTATTTTTACTTATGCAACAAACTATATTTTTATTTTACTTTTCTTTTTTTTCTTTTTTTTAAATAATTTTCTTTTAAATAATTTGGCACAATTAAGAAAATCTATTTAAACAGACAGTTTTGACTAAGACAACTCTAAAAAAAATTAAAAATGTAAAAAAAACATTTTTAATCCACTCAACTAATTTGTAATATAAAATGTCGGATAATAACAATAGTTACAACAAACACTGCAGGCAATCATAACTAACATTGTCGGATCTAATGTTTTATAAAAATTTTAATATTTTTGGATTATTTTTTTGTCTTTTTTTTAAATTATAAAGTTATTTTTAGAAGCCAAAACTACAGTTAAATGTAAAAGCTTTTTGAATTAATCATTACCTGAAACAATACTTATATATAGCAATTTTTTTAAATTTGCATAAAAAAGACATGCTTATTAAAATTGCAATTATATATATATATATATATATATATATATATATATATATAGGTACAATTTGGGCAGCAGTACCCATTTTATACAGGTTTCATTGAAAACCTGCATTTGTAGAAGTGTTTTTTGTTTATGAACAGATCTTAGTTTGTTCCCACCCACAAAAAAAAAAGAAAAATATAATAAAAAGCTTTAAACACAGTGCCTTGTCAGTCATCTTCAATGAAACCTCTGTTTCTCCATATTTAATAGTAGATAGATTTCTCAATTTTCAGGTTCACACTGCTTTTGGGTCTTTTGAACAAGATTAGAGGGTTTTTTTTTCCCCTGTTTAGGATTGGGTTGCTGTTTTCTTCAAAAATCACATTCTCTTTCACTCCCCTTTCATCTTAATGGCATTATTGCCTTGCTTGGGGTGAAATGATTTAAAAAAAAAAAAAAATTAGAGATTTGTCCAACAGTAAATAACTACACATTCCCAAAGTCAAAGGACTCCTTTCTCCTCCTCTCTTCTCCTTTCTCCTCCTCTCTTCTCCTTTCTCCTCCTCTTCCTCTCCTTTCTCCTCCTCTCCTTTCTCCTCCTTTCTCCTCCTCTTTCTCCTCCTTTCTCCTCCTCTTCCTCTTCTTTTCTCCTCCTCTTTCCCTCTTTCTCCTCCTCCTCCTCCTCTTCCCTCCTTTCTCCTCCTCTTCCTCTCCTTTCTCCTCCTCTTCCTCTCCTTTCTCCTCCTCCTCCCTTTCTCCTCTCCTCTCTTTCTCCTCTTCCTCTCCTTTCTCCTCCTCCTTTCTCTCCTTTCTTTCTCCTCCTCCTCTCCTTTCTCCTCCTCCTCTCCTTTCTCCTCCTCCTCTCCTTTCTCCTCCTCCTCTCCTTTCTCCTCCTCCTCTCCTTTCTCCTCCTCCTCTCCTTTCTCCTCCTCCTCTCCTTTCTCCTCCTCTTCCTCTTCTTTCTCCTCCTCCTTTCTAAATCTCATGATTTAGCTTTTTGGCAAGTAAATATTGATCTGCAAGTCAAGAATCAGGAATTCTGTAGCCTGACATATTAGCTGATTTGGGGCTTGGGAATTTTTTACAGTTTGATGACTTTAAGCAGATTTAAATTTTTATATCTCAAGGGCACTTTGTCCTTACAGCAATAATTTAAACCCAAAATTATTTTGGGTGATATCCATTCGAGAAAGCCTAATTCTTGGCCTCAAGATGGGAAAGTTAACGCGTTCAAAAAGCTATGACTAATACCCTAGATATTGTGAAGTCAATACATGTTTAATTAGTCTCTGAATTAAATATCCACTTCTCTTACTGTATAGGTTTCCTTGTTGAGCAATTTATCTTTATTGTAAATGTAAACTAAACACTTATCAAATTGAGATAAAATCTTACTTTAGTGACAAGCTATTTATCAAGGTCCTAAATGACCCGCTTTCGTCCCATTTGACTCCCAGAAGCTTTAGGATCTTTTAGCTCTTCATTCAGGATTTATGCTTTGCAAATTACTTGGTGTTGTATTTAGTTTCAGTGGATTCTTTTTTTATTTCCTTCAGGAGTAAATATTTGTTTAGCTTAGCTTGGGAGAGAGCCACAATAATGGATCAAAGTGTAGTATCTGTCATCTGGTAGAAAAACTACATTTTTATCTCTAAATTGTGGCTCTGTCCTCAGCCAGAACACAACTCAACTATATCTCTGTCTTTGGACAGTACAACCAGCAGTCGAGGAAGATGGATTATTTTTTAACCTGGCTTTGGTGTATGTGCTCAAGCCCCCACCCCCCACATTAAACTAACTTTGTGTCACATCCTGCCAGTGTGGAGGCAGCAAGTAAATGGTAAGTGTAGAAACTGCCCTTGGGTGAACAAACTATATTTTTATCTCATTATTGTCTTTCTGTTTTCAGACAGAGCACAACAAATAAATGAGGGATGCCTGGTGCTGGGGATTTCAACCCTGCAGCAGCACCTCCCTTGTTGCACCAAAGAGAAAGGGTTGGTGGAATATCAACACTAGTATGAGCTTGGTTGCAGGGGTCTAGGCAATTTTGTTCCATCTTGAGACAGTGCATGGTAAAACTTTGAGGGATACCTGGTCCTGCGGATTCCAACCTGTGGCGGCACATCCCTCATTGCACCAAAGAGGTAGGGTCAGTGGAATATTGATGCCAGCACAACGTCTGTTGTGGGGACTATGCAATATTTGGCCTTAGCTCATGTGCATGGGCTTGGCTCCTCACTTTAAACTGGCCTTGTGTCATACCCTACCTCCTTAAGGAAATATTCAACATTAATTTACCCATGCAACTGTCATTTAAAACTTATAAAATCTGTAAACTAAAACCATTTTTCAGGTAAATAAGTCTCTCAAGTTCATTATTATCACTTACTAGTATTGATGGATGGGGGTTTCTTTCCTAGCATTTTGTTTGGAATAGTGTGGAACATCAGCATCTTGTGTCATAAGTTTTCTCTTTGTTATCTGATATAAGTTCTTGGTTTGTGTTTCTGTAATGTTAGTCCATGAGGTTCAAAAGTCAGTGGTCCTCCCTACATGCTACATTCACTCAAAGCTGTTTTAACTATTGATCTTTGAATATTTCTGAACAGATTTGGTGTCATGCATGACATCCAAATGAAAGTCTTGATCCAACGAGTCTATTTAAGAACATGACTCAAGTTCTTAGGTTAATGTTTCGGTTTTGTAGCAATTTACAGTGTTAGGTGAAACCTCCCCGAATGCAGACTATTGTATGTTTAATTTCCTTCTCTTCTATACTGACTTTGTTATAACTGATCCATATACAGGGGTATTTAAAGTGTTTATTATTTATTAATTTTATACCCTGAATCAATCATAAAAATTCAGGCTATGTGCAATCAATTCTTTCATTACAATTACTGATCATAATTTCCATTTTGGAAAGGTTTATTTGGAGTCCGATTTCTTGAAACACTTGGTAGGGAATTTTTTTTTCTTTTCTTTCTTTTTTTTTTTTTTTTTTTTTTTTTTTTCTTTTTCAAGATCATTCTTATCCAAACTATGAATACTTATATCATCATTATATATAGTAAGATATGTAAGGGGGGAAGCCAGCTTTCCTCTTAAAGTCAACCTTGACTAACACAAGATGGCAATACCTACAGATTTAGTAGAAAAACGTAGAAGATAATGATTATTTGTTCAAGATCATACCTATGTCATCAGCATTGCTGCTCTCATCATCAGGAATTTGACCTTGAGAAAGAAAGCACAATGATTTTCTTCCATTGTTAGATTAGTTTAAATTATGGTCTCTTATTTGATCGATTTGTTTTTTTATTTCTTATCAATCTTTTGCTGGTTATTTAAAGCCAGAAAACATTTTTACATTGTAAGATTTTTTTGAGATAATGATTTTCTGATAAAATTCCTGCTAATTAACCCATACCTGGTGCAGAAGTAATTGATACATACCTTTCTCAAGGGTATTTGCACATAAGTGAATATAACAAACCTAACAGGATTGGAACTTGACTCCAATTTTCAATTCCAAGCCATTATTCATTATATCACCTGCACATCCCTGCTTACAGCACCTGGTATTCCCAAGTGGTCACCCATCTAGATACTGACCAGTCTCAACATTGCTTAACTTTGCTGATCTTACTAGAACCAGTGTTTCAACATAAGTTGAAACACTGGTTCTAGTAAGATATGGTATGGAATGCTTAAGTGATCAGTGCCCATCTCTTTATATTTGTGTTGTATATGCATCGAGCATAGTCTAGGAAGAGAATGTGCTATTTTGCATTATATATAAAATTACTTCTTTTACAGTATATGGAATCCCCCTTAAAATAATGTTTTGTGTATTAGTTCTATATATTTGAAATTGCAGTAGCCTGGCTCTCAATTTCAGTCAAGATCAAATTCAACTTGCATTGGCAAGACTAACATTTTGCTTGGCAAAAATAGTCACCTACAGTGTGCTAAAGGAATTTCATCTCTGATCCAGTTTATTTATCTATTTATTTTATTTTTTTTTTTTTTTTTTTTTTTAATTAAATCTTCAAATTTAATAATTTTAATTCTTTAATTTTTTTATTTTTTTCTGAGTAATTTAGGTTAATTTTTTTTTTTTTTTCTCTCAATAATTTAAGCTAAAAATCCTTTGTATGTCACGACCTTACCTTATCCAGATAGCTTGTGTTATTAATCAAAATTTTGATTGTTTTTAAACAAATGCATCATGTTGTGTAATTATAAACAAATAAGGTCAATCTACGCAGATTTAATTTTATCAAATAATTCAATAAGAACGCATTCCTCTTCAAATGAAAAAAGGAAAAAAAAAAATGGTTATCCTTTATTTCTCTTTTCTCTCATTCCTAAAGATCTTGCAAAAGTCTCTATAACTGTCAAGGCATCGAGCTGTGAGAAGCAATTGATCATTGTAGTAGCAACAAGATGCTCTAAACGTAAAATGCCGTATCTCCAAAATGTAATACAACAAAAACATGTTAGCATGTAACAAAACAAATTAAATTCCTTTCTATTTTTTTTTCTATCGAATGGTTAAATTGCCAATTATCCCTAATGTACCCTTCATTTAAAATAAATGAAGCAAAAAAAAAAAAAAAAAAAAAAAGTGATCCTCTTAAATGCTTTCTCAACTGGGATTTTCTTCCTAGCATTCCATTTGTGGCCTGCAGTCAAATTGGGCAGAAAACACCACCTCTCGTTCGATCACCAAAATTGAGCAATGTCAAGCCTGGTCAGTACTTAGATGGTAGGGGGAGAACCGCCTGGGAACAATCCAAAATACATTTCAGATTTTAAATGAAACAAAGGATAAGCCATTAAAAAAAATGAATCCATCAATGCACTTTTTATGGAAACCGTTGATTACACAGGATGCAGTGAGCATTAAAAATAAAATTATTCCTCATATCTTGTCTCTTGGCACCCCCCCCAATCCCCCCCACATTATTTTATTTTTATTTTTTTTTCCTAAGATGATAAAATTTCAATTTAAACATTTTCTTTCTCTTCAATGTCTCCTGCTGTTAATTTCTACATCTTACCATTTTTGTAATAAGACGTGAAAAATTGTTTGTGGTAGCATTTAACTAGGAATTCTTTTATCAATTTCCTAACATCATCTTTATTTATTTATTTTTTTTATTTTCTAAAATTTTTTTTTTTTTCTCATACTTTCATAAAAGTAAGTATAACCTCTTAACTTACATTATAATGTTTATGTTCTGGAAGTCTAATATTTGCTACTTTACACAAACTGTCAAAAATAAGTAATATTTAAGAAATATATAACTTACCTCATGTTTTTTGAAGATGTACAGCACATATGTACATTCCACATTTGCTTACTTTTTAAAAAACTTTGAATTATGACACTTTGTGTCCTCCACATGTTTTGACTGACCTTTCATCCACTTGATGAATGTTCTCAAATTTAAAGCCTTGATAAAAAAAACATCCTCACTTTTGTATATAAACACATACAACAAAATAAATCCTACATTTCCTTGATAAAGTCCCTCAGAATGAAACACATGGGCTAAAAATAGTTTCTTCCTCTTGAAAAAGTCATTTTGTTCTTTTACAGATATATATTTTTTCAGATGGAGTAATATATATATATATATATATATATATATATATATATATAAAAGGCTCAAACACTAATATTCCATGGTTATAATTTATTACAGCGGAATTGTAATAACGATCCAATTCATTTGTATGTCTGATGAATTGGATCATGATTACGATTCCAATGTAATAAATTATAACCATAGACTATTAATGTTTGAGCCTTTTATATTATATTCTTACTCTGGCCTGGGAGTTCTACCTGGATTCTATCCTCTTGAGAATTTTTTTGTGTGTGTGTAATATATATATATATATATATATACACACACACACAAGATACTGGGGGTCAACACCAAGCAGTGGTGCTGTTTCATGCTT